TGCAGCAGTTGTAAGTTTTCAGAAGATTTTCACAACTTCTATGTGTGTGTGTGTGTGTGTGTGTGTGTGTGTGTGTGTGACCTTACAACTTTTCTAAAGTACCTTGAGGCTACAAAGAATTTTAGTGCAGAGAAAGAATACTTTCTTTTTTTCTCTTTACGGTTCACCGACAAAGACTAACATGCAGTAACATTCCCCTTTCTCGTTATTTTTAACCAGGCAGTCCATGTATTTCTCATTGAGAACTGCTCCTAAAACGCAGACTCCAGCAGTGCATCTCCTGATCCTCTTCATCTGACAAGCAACAAAGACCAGGCACCGGGAAGCATGTCAATCACATGGAAGCAAGAGGCGAGGGCTACCGAAAGATTTGACTTCTGCTCATGAAGTACAGGTTTTCCAACACAAAGCTGTTCTTTGAACCCGTCTAGGATTTATATATCATTTTAACAATATAGAACACAATAGCTGCACCCAGACAAGAAAAAGTGCCTTTGCCAGGAAAGAAAAAATATCTTTCCACAGGTAAAGCAGATGGAAGTTCAAACCAACCTGTTCTGCCTTAAACACAGACAGTCTTCCTTCTGAAAATTCTTGTTGCCAAGATGTCATGTAAATCCAATGGCTTCAATACATCTGAATGCCACAAGCTGGAGTCACATCAGAACACCTGGTCTGCATTCTAGACAGGGTCAGTAATTCAAATAATGGCATTAGACCAGCATGACAGCCATGCAAATAGAATTTTCAGAAGTCAGCAACAACAACCTATAATGGGCTTGATACATCTTTAACATGTATCTACAGCCTACACCCTTTTTCTAAAAAAAATTGAAAAGTGTAAGGAAGGGTTAAACCCATCTTTATTTGTTTTTCTATTCAGGGGCAATCTCTTTACTTTCTTGTAAATGTAACAGGAAGTGAGAAAATTCCTCAGTGGAACAATTGTCCCCACTGAAATATTTCCCCTAAATTACTGTTCTGGTGACAGCTCAAAATGTGGATATCGCCTCACTGTCAGACCTGATGGCAATGGTCACTGGGACAATCGGTCACTGCTGGCTAAGTAAAAGTGATTTTACAGCTCTCCAATCAGTTTTACATGCTTGGGAACATAATTCCCCCACACTGATCTCTCCTGGATAGTATGAATGTGGAAGAACTCAGCTCTGAACTCTTCCAGGTTCAGCGCTGTCAAACTTCAGCCACTCTGGTTGGGGAAGAAGCTGATCAAGTTCAGTTTGTGCGTGATCGGTTTCAACAGAGTGCAAGGGTAATGTGTCTGCAAAAAAGGATAAAAATCTCCCTCTCTGCAAAAAGGTTTAGCAACTTCAGCTAAAATGAATGTGGCCAATTTACTAGAGGAGTTGTAACTGAAGTTGTTCATTTCCAATACCAAATCATTTGCAGAAGAAATAAACAGGAATTTTCTTTCTATGTAATTAACGTCAATCCTTATTTCTCTGAGTAAAGGTCCACAACTCCTTTAGTAAATCAGCCTCAATGTCTCCGTTTTGAGTGGCATGTGGTAGGGTATGGTGATACTGCTACTGTAGGGTACTGCTGTTCCTAAACATTCCAAGGATAATCTGATGGTGATAACAGTGCACCATGCTTGCTCAGTATGTGCTGAAATGGCCTCTTGTAGTATTCATCAAAAGCACGTCTCGCAGGGAGAGACAAAGGAACACAATTATGAGACAGGGGCAGTTGGTCACCTAATAGGAAGTGCCTGAACAAGGAGCCTCATGGAAGGATCCCCAGATATTTTAATAAAAGAGATTTTAAAATAAAAAAGCACTTATGAAATGAACACGTTAAAATTATATGAGATTAGGGATTGACATGCACAAGAAAACGTGTATACAGAATAGCAGTTCAGGAGGCAATAACCTGCATTCTCTTACCTTGAACATTTGCTTTACTTTCTGTCGTGGAAGGTTCACATTCAGTTTGTGCATTAGTTGTAAGACCTCATTTATACTCAGACTCCCATCTCCATTTTTGTCTGCTTCATCAAATGTTTGCTTCAACCATATTTGGCAGGAGTTAAGGAAAGAACATGTGGATCAGTCATTTCAGCAGAAGCACTTTCAATATTGATCTGTATGGTTCACCTTGCCATCATACCAGACTGAATTTCTTAGGAAAGTGTGAAGACTGAAAAATACACTGTCTTTCCAAAAAATTTGGAGGTGCTGCTAAACCACCAATCACAAAAGAGAAAAATCAAAAGGTTTTTTTTTCAATTTTACTATACATACATGGATGAACTTTCACTTAACATATATTGACATTCGTGTTGATCCAGATATTCAAATGTTAGATTTGGACTAAATCTAATGAATTCTGTTGTCCTGAGCCAAATTTGAATTTCAGTGTCCTGATGACCATTGTTACTGGGATGGAATTGAGAGAAAATGTAAAACTTTGAGTTATCACTGAAACAGGAGAAACATCTTCCAAAGGGGAAGACTTGTTCTGGTGACTCCTATGAAGAGATATCCTCTCACTTCCTGCAGTTTATAAAGACAGAAAGTAACAGAAAATATCCTGGCCTGCATATTAACTATTCCCAACTCTATCCTAAATTCTAACTCTATGCTAAGAAATAGAAGTTTTGGCTTTAGAGGCTTTCAGTGGCGTAACCAGAGTTATGGGCGCCCGGGGCAGAACATTTTTTTCGCCCCCCCCCAAGGCTTTAGATATATTTTAACAAAAGTTTAAGCTTTCAACGGATTGAAAACTTTAGGAATCACATTAACATCTTAAAGCTTTTATGATATTTTAGTCAAAAGGATTAAATGTACATTAATTCTCTAGGAAAGTTTATTTTGTAGCAACATACATCGTTGAGCCTTCTGGGGGTACATAGGGGCCAGATACGAAGGGGGCCCAATTAGGTAGGCTGAAATTTGGGAATTTCTTTTTAGGACAGCTGAGATCTTTAGTTCTGCATTAATAAATTATTAGGTTTACAGATTGTGTCATAGTATAAAGTTAAATTTTGTTTATTATTGCTGCTTCCCTTTTGCCAGCCATCTATATCCATAGCACTGGTTCCTAGTAGTGTACTCACTATGCCGCCAGCTCTCCTACTCCTGCCCTTGAATTGGGCATACTGTATGTTAAGATCAGTGACATATTGTGAAGGGTGATGCTAGCAGGTGCCACACAATGAAGCTACTGGAGGAAGGGGGGCATCCATTTTGCTGTGGGGTCCCACAGTCTATTGTTGAGATGATAGTGGTGTGTAGTTCACTTGGTTGGTATATATAGACACCATTTTGCATCCTTTTCTTGTATTTTCTACTGTGCATCTGCACAGTAGAGCACCATCAAAGTCTATGGTACTCTACTGCGCAGGCACAGCCAAGAGAGAAAGGACTTGCAATGCGGTATGTAAACAATTCCTGGAGACTTTGCCCATCGGCTTGAGGCAAGTATACTGCAGAAGGGGAGGGTGGGATCTGTTAGGTCAGGGAAGAGGGACAAAAAGGACAAAGCGCACTTTGTTGTACAGTGCACTTAGGCTTTGAATTAAACCCCAGATTGATAGCACTAAATTATCTGGAAGAAACATTATATCGCTGCAAAATGCTGCCAGGCAAAGCCGTGAGAGAATATCAAATATTTTACAATAGAAACATAATTTTCTGGCAGCAGCCAGGTTGTTTAGAGACTGAGGATCATCAATATGTTTTGTACAAGCAACAATAGGCCATGGGAAATATTGCGAAGAAACAAATTAGGTTTTAATCTAATAATTTATGAAGTGGGGAGTTTATAGCACAAGACTTTTAACTTATTCAAATGAATGCTTTATAAATTATGTACCATTTCTAAAAATGCCAAACTTGTAGCCTTTTAAAAATACAAAAGGTCGAAGTTTTTATCTTTACAACGAAGTGTTTCTAAAAGCCATGGAGCCATGGTAACACGTGGAAATTATAAACTTTTTATGGCCTGCAGTTTTATGCCCTTGTAACCCAATTAGTTCCAGTGAGAATTCATCATTTTTCTCATTGCAACTGTTCATGAACAATGTACAAGCATATCTTTGTCTACTAGATGGCAAAGGGCCAAGGAAGACAGGTTGTGTTTTATAACAAAGCATTCTTAGCGCTTTGTATAGTGATCACCCAATGGGCATGTTTGACTATGACCAGTAATGGAAAAGAAAAATATTAAAGCAAAAGAGCTATTGATCACTCATATTTAATTAAAGCTGAACTCCTGGTATGCATGAATTTGTTTGCATACTTAGATGGTCCTGCTTGGCTCAAGTAAGTATGCTTAAGTGGCCTGAAGATTTTACTACAATATGAGTACAAAAACAAAATAGCATCACATGTTGTCTGAGGGGGCAGCAGGGAGAGTGCAGAGTTGAGATTTAACCTTTTCTGAGAATATGGTGTTTGCCATTGCTCACATCTACGCTAACATTTCCAATATGCAAACCAGGAAAGTCTGTTGTGGTTTGGTCACACATAGTATTGAAGCCAGAGTATCAGCATGACATCCAGGCAACTAGCATTTGAAGAATGTGAAGTTAGCAATGGTAGACTCCATGTTTCCCTTGGGAAAGGTTTCCTTTGATTAAGCTCTCCTTTGCAGTGTCTAAAATATCGAATTAGATTGATGGTTAAACTACGAAGGCAATTTTAATGCTATCTTACCAAGTAATCTCGCCACTTAGGCAATCACTTCATTTGCAACTCATTGAAATCAACATGCTGTAAAGTGACATGATTACCACAAGTAGTTACATTGCTCACTTGTGCAAGCTTTAAATTGGTCATCTAGTTTAGCCATTACAGGTAATTACTTTTTGGGTATCTTTTACCATGGCATACCTAAAGGGATAGCATAATGCATTCTCAGTGAGCGCATGTTACCATTCCAGTGTTTAGTTAACCATCTCATCACCAAATGTCATTGATGCTAGACCAAATTTAGTAGCATCAGTTATTTGGCAATAAATCTATAATCAGTCAGAGATGCCGTCTTCATTTCTAAACAAGTTTGTGTGAAGATGCTTGCGATGAGGGTTGTAGCTATTACTCATTTTTGCTGGCAAAGCGCACTGGCTTGGGAGGGCAGAAAGTACATTTCTAGTAAGAGAAAATTGTATATTTCAGCATTTACAAGTCTAAATTGGCTATAAACCCTATGGTGGTTAAGGGTTTAGAAGAGAAAACAAACAGGCTGCGAGACGTCAACTGAGCTTCATCAATTTCATCTCTCAGATTTAGGGCATAATTAAGATTTATGAACTGGGAATTACAAAAAAAAACAAGTTAGCCTTGGTAACCAATATGAAAGTGATGATTTGAACTTCCTTGCAGCTGATTATCATTTAGAAACAGCAAGTCAATAGCTAGCTACTAGATGCTTTAAAAACATTTAAGAGATAAAGAGAGTTGTATACATGCTAGATTGCATGTTCTGCCAACTTTGAACACCAGTCTACAAATCAATATTGTATTTCACACACAACCAGCATGTCCCGCAAAGCTTGCATTTTTTATGTAGAAAAGGATATTGGTCCCGAGTCCTTTGACGTTTAGAAAGACTGTCTTCATCACTTATCCCTGCCATTAAGTACTTGAGACCCGTTATCCACGTCCGCGCTTCTTCACCACTCGAGGACACCAGATCAAGAGACTCCATGCGATCACCATAGTAGATACTGAAACAGCAGTTTGGGTCGAAGCTTCCATCAGCATATCTCTGGAAAATATCTGACTGTTTCCCTTCACACACCTCCTGAATGGAGTCAATCGAGACTATGGATATAAACAAATATAAAATTAAAGTTTAGGTGGATATAAGACATGGACAAATAAAAGAAATGTCATGAATGAACAGAATAAAACAAATAAGTACTAGGGTGACCAGACAGAGACTGATCATTGGCCAAGTAAAAGTGATCACTGCCATTCCAAGTCAGGCCATTGTGTAACAATCTAATGTTTGCTCTCAATCTAATGAAATTGGACAGATTTGAAAACTATCAAATTGTTAACGAACAGTAATTTGATACATTAAAGGAGAACTATGGGGTCAGTGTTTTTCCCCATAGTTCTCCAAAGGGTAACGGGAGGACACAAACTAGCGTCCTCCCGTTACCCTAAGCTCAGTATACCACGAGCTACAGCTCGTGGTATACTGAGACGCCGCAGCCGGGACGGATCACGACTCTTTTGACAGGATCCGCACAGCTGCGTGAGTGACAGCTGGCTCTGCCTATCTAGAGGCAGAGCCAGCTGTACCCGCCCCTCCCCCGTCCGTTCCGCCAGTCAGCGCTGGCAGATCGGATCGGGGAGGGGGGAATGCCCCCCCTCCCCCTGTCACGGCAGAGAGCCGTGACAGGATCGAGAGGTGAGGGAATCCGGTATGTGTTCCCTCACCTCCCGATCTACTGAGCCGACCTGTGACAGTCTCATTGTCACAGGTCGGCTTAGAACTATGAGATGAGTGGAAATCACTCATGTCATAGTTCTCCTTTAATGTTGCAGATCAATTCCAGTATAATGTAAATACCTACATTTATGTATACTAAGACCTAAATAAATAAGAACCTTCACATACTTATTCACTTGTTATTCTTTCCATAGTGATAAGCTGCTTGTGACTTTAAAAGTGACACTAAATTCAGGAGTTAAATCTTAAAAATGCATTCAAATACCCTATTACCAAAAATGTTATCTCATTTGTGTACCACTTAGCTGTAGATCCTCAAATCATCTCTGAATTGGTGCTGACACTGTCCTTCCTTCTAGACAGTGGCTACTTTTGTTCTCCATATTCCCTCTGTGTGTTGTAAGGTAGCTCAGCCCCGTGACATACTACAATCACAATCAAAACTAGTCATGAGATTGTAGTCCATTACGGGAGTGAGCTTGGAGCGGTGGCTATTTTTCAACAGACACAGGGACCATGGGGAACAAAAGTAGTCACCTTCCAGAAGGAAGGACAGTTTCAGCATGAAATCAGAGATGATTTGAGGATCTGCAACTGAGTGATACATAAATAAGATACATTTGTGTTAATAGTTAGGGTACCTAATTGCATTTTTAAGAATTAACTCACGAGTTTAGTATAACCTTAAAGTAAGGAGTGATGCCACAGCTAAAACCAACTAAAGCATGTCAAATGCAGGTCAGTCAATTTTGAATGATCTGAGAAGCAAGCTGCATTTGCTCATTGCAGCCCCTCAACACTGGCCCAAGGCTACCATTGTTCCGCCAAAATTTAGAGTTTGGCCGGATTGGCAAACATTCAATTTATATACTTTTGACCAAATCCCAGAGGGTTAAATGAGTAAAATTAATTCTGGTAAAAAAATATGATCTGTCTATTATATAAAAAAAAAAAGCCTCTAAGCTTTTCGAATGCATAAGCAAACATAGCCACATAGCTATCTTACAAAATGGATGTGTAAATTGAACTTCATGGAAATAAGCACACCTTGCCTTGTAGTGGAGCCAGCTCACCCATTAAAACAAGCTGTGTACGTAACTGCAAATTGGGGTTGGCAAAGCTCCAGCTCTGGAACTTGAAGGTGGCTTAAGGATCTGGAGCAGAGGCAAAGCTGGAGCAGTGATGAAAATAGAACAGAATTGAATTCCAGAGCTTAAAGGTGGCCATACACTTCGTTGTAAAGTAATTAAAAAAAGTACGATCTGCCCATCTTGGACAGGCAGATCATACGTGCGATCATCGCAAGCCCGTCCCCCTGAGGGGCGGGCTTCCAATGACCGCAATGCTGAACGGGCAGTGTGCGTGTGCGCACACCGGCCCCGTGCGGCATTGATCTTCCGATCATGCTAAAAACCAGCCGATAATCGTAGATTCTCAAGTGGTTTTCTAGCATGCTCCTTAGCCAAAAGACGTGCGACCGTACAGTAGAAACGGTCGCACATCTTCATTCACACTGCACGATTCTCGTACGATCGTGGGATTTCCCGCAATTCTCGTACGAGAATCGTGCAGTGTATGGGCACCTTAAAGTGGACATTCTGCAGCGTCTCTTTTGAATTCTAATTCACATGATTATCACATAATTATCATACATTAAAAATAACATAGGCCAAAATGCAATCAATTTTGCAATAGTAAAACAAGTGTCTAGGCTTAATTTACTAAGTAGCAGGAATAAAGTGGCAGCTTAAAGTGTAACTCCAGCCAAGACACTTTTTCCACCTCTTTTTGTTGTTTTTGCAGTCTCTGTGAGGGAGCTTTACCCTCACTCTCGGTCTTAAAAAGACACACGAGGAAGGGAAAGGCTATTGTGGCAAAGTAAGGAAATTACAACTTTAACAGCTGTCTATGAAAAAGGTGTGGCCATTTGCATATTCTTCCCTCTCTGCTTTTGTTATGGTGACAGCTGTAACATTTTAGAATTTTCTTAACTTTCTGGTACAGTAAGCTGGTTTAGGCTTTCAAACACTTTTCCCCGCCCATGCACACCTACAGTCTTTGATGGACAGGCTATTTTACTTAGCTAAAACACATAGCTCCATTGGAAGTGACATGCAGCACCATGCAGGACCCTCTTCCTTGTGCCTGGTAATAGAGAGAATTCTGACATCACTATTAAAAAAAAACCTTTTTAAAGTCTAATTAGCTATTTTAAAAAAAGGGTATATATTGAGCTCGGGGAGGGGAAAAAAAGATCAGTAACACTGCAAGGTGGATCTCTGAGTTCAGCTTTAAAAGTTTAGGAAAAATGCCAAACTCAGCAATGGCCCTGAGGCTCTTTGGCAGTAGTTCGTGGTACACAGTCTTTATGTCCATTTCTAGCAGCAATCCAATGCAAAGGTTTCAGAAGAGATCTATAAAAAGCTCTAGACCCAAAATTAACTGATTTCTGCAGGACGTATATAGTGATCTAGGACCGCCAGTGATCGAGAACATTAGTATTGTGAGCTGCAGGCAATAATTTAATAGCTGTCCAAAAAATGTGCCTCTCCCGTCCATCATCTCACTTATCAAATAATAAAAGGACAATTCAGGGGAAGCAGAAGAACTGAACTAGAAAAAAAAAAAGAAGGCATAGTATACAGGATATAATTTCCCCTGTGACCTGAGAAAGAACATAAATTTAATATACAGAGTAGCAGAGACAAAACCTGAATGCTGCCTCTATCAATCACCCGATGTTCCATTCTGGCATCCAGCTAGTAGAAGCCCCTGTTTGGATCTAAATGACTCCATTACATTGTTACATTACCCATTTGTGAGAAGAATATTAATTTCTCATTAGCCTCTGTGAAGTTTCCATGAGTGCAGACACTATCCATTCTGTACAAGTCAGGCTGGGAGCCATTAAGTAATAATTCTTCTCATGACAGCACTTCAAGGATATGATAATGTTTGGATAACCAGCAATACTAATTTAAATTAAGGTCATTTCTTGTAGCTATGTTCATTATGGCTGACCGTAAACTAACCGTATACATTTATACAGCACAAATTATGTGCTAAATGATGGCCGTGTCATGTAGAGAAAGTGTAATGATCATTTGGAGTACATATGTAGGGAGTTATTTTGTAAAATCCAAAGGACATGGCTTATTGAAGTCTGCTGCAATACTCAATTACTCTGGAGGTGCACCAGCAAAGTCCACCAACTGATTAAAGACACAAAAGTGCTTTCTGTACAAAATGATTTTAAGAGACTGGGCCAGGAACTTCGCAAGATATTTTGTACCCTTACATTTTAAGAGGTCTTACCTGTCTATAATGCACAAGTCTTTTGTATTGCAGAATTCAACATGTTGTTAAAATTAGCTGGTGAAAAGCTGAAAGTTTTGGTTATGTTAGCCATAACATAACCAAACAGCTCTTATGTCCAGGGAAAACTTAGACTTTGTTGCGATTACAGTGACACGGTTCAGGGATTTAAAAAGGACTGAAAAAGGTATACAGGAAATAGAAAGAAGGAAAGCAGGGAGGTGGTGTTACCATTTAGGTCAAACATAGCAAAAATAATTCAGAAAACAAACAAATTAACTACTTGAAACACTCTGGACCTGCCTATAAAACAGAGAGGGATCTTCCTATTAGTAGCTGTAGTATACAGACCCCCAGGACAGTCTGAGGATTGTGATAACGTGTTTGACAATGAAAGCAGAGGTTTTAATTATGGATGATTTCAACATGCTGGACGTTAACTGGAGTTTTCAAACTGTTCTTACAAGCAGTAGAGGAGATATGTTGGAGGCAATGAATGGGGTTTCCCTAAAACAGTAAAAAGCCCAACCAGAGAAGATCATATTCTAGACCTGATATTGACAAATGGGGATTGATTGTCTGATGCTGGGAGGCGGGAGAAGATTTTGGGTCAGCTGTTCAATCTTAAATGACAAAGTTAAATATGGAGTCTGTTATTGCTAACCTAAGACTGCTATACTAATTAAATGACTTAATTACTGTCACTGACCCCAAACAAGTTTATAGATCAAGTATCCTGATTTTACTTGCTGCATGCTTGTTCTCAGTTAGTGATTGGAAAGAAATGATGCAGTGACAGCTAGTCCAGTAGCCCTAGCTAAAATCCCTCCCAAGTGAGGAAAATCCCTAGTGGTTAGAAGGGTCACCAGAACTAATGCCTCCACTGGAAGTTTTCCCATCTATTCCTGTTCTGGTGACAAGCCAAAATTTGGCATTTTCTTAAATAATAGAAAACAAATTGCTTCAAGTGCACTTTAAGTGTTAAACAAAATAGCATTCACCATTCACAGTAAAGACAAATTCCTGGCCGCTCTCTAAAACCTATATTCAAGACTAAATTGTTTGAGGAACAGAGACCGATTCCCTTCCTCTAGTTCTTTACTATGTCATTTTGCTGCCAGTATATCACCCACCCCCATCTCATTCAATACATTTATTCCATAGCGTAAAATACTCCTTCATATGCTAGCTACGCTGCATGATTTTGACCATACTTAGTAAGTGCTGTCGCTAGCTATAATCAGATGAATCAGACAAATCCGTAAATCAGGATTACTTCCTTAGCTACACTGCACAGGCTGATGATGTAAAGAAAGATTCTGTACGGTAACTGAAGGATTGATGACAGATGTGTGACCCAATCATGGCCAGCCGTGGTGTAAGCGCAAATCAGAAGAAGTGATATGTTGGTTCTGAGTGTAGGGCCATCAACACTGAAAACAAGTGGAAACTGCCCTGACTACTAAACTACCTCTACACTTTCACCTACCCCTAACACTTAGGACTGTTAGAGTTATCTCTAAGACTCGACCTAACCTTTAAAGCTGAACTCCATGCAGATACAGAAGATTGAAATGAATGCATCTTGGCATAAATACATCATTAAACACCTCCCTACAATCCCCTGCACAGCAGAGCTTAGCACTGGGAGAGGGAGAAGCAAAACAGGGATCCAGTCAGTTGTGCTGCACTGCCCATGTGCTAACAAGCAACATGCTGATGAGTGGAAAGAAGAGACTGATACATAAATTATCTCATCAGGCTGCTGCTTCTCCTTCACTTTCCAGTTACAAGCTGGGGGAGGGTCAAGACCTGCGAGTATTACTTGACTGTAGAAGAGAAAAATCAGGTCTCCTGCCATACCAGACAGGGCTGTGCTGTGTGTCAGAGCTGGATGGAGAGAAATCTAAATAATTTGGCAAGTAAAACAATATTCTGTTTTTGTATTAAGTCTTCTGCATAGAGCTCAGCTTAATAAACCCGTCAAGAGAGAAACGGAGACTGCAATTGCTGACTTCTATTCCTTGAAGTGCAATTTGCCTGGCTGCTTTGGTAAGCAATACAGCATAGCTACCAACTGAATATATAGACTGCTGATGGGACAATAAAGAAGCAACACCACCTTGATAGGGTCAACCTTGTGCTCTCTTCTCCTGTCAGCACATGACTATAAGGCCGCCAGCAACGTGCAATTTAATAGATCCCGACTGGCTCAAAGTGCTACACCTCCACCCCTCAGAGTCTGTGTCTTGTTGTACTGGAGACTATAGCAGTGTAAAGACATATTTTTACATATGCCTGAAGTTCTGCTTGGAAAGGGTCTAGCAACATTTCTAGTGGGAGCCATTTTGACTCTCTTCATAACCTGATTGGATCTTTTGCCTCCCTGCTTCACATGCCCTACACCAGGGGTAGGCAACCATGACATGCCATCTGTGGTGAAACTACAAATTCCATTATGCCTCTTCACTGTGGCTGTCAGTCTTGGTGTAGGGTAGGGGTGGAGATAAACACACCGGAAACTGCCGCATGTAAGCTGGATAAATGGGTCTATATTTTAGGTTTCGTCTCTGCTTAAAACTGGATGCACAGGAGCTAAAAGAAATATACAGGAATAGATGGCTCTGATCCTTTTCATGTTTGTTTTGGGGGGAAAAAGCGATTATATGAATACATTGTTTTTAAAAGATAATGCTGTCCTTCATGGAACCAATGAAAGGCTACTTGGTTCATTTGGCATAGCTCACCATACTGCCTACTATGTATCCAAACAGAGCTATACTGAGGTACAATTACTTAATTACTTCTCTGTGTACTAGGCCCCCTGTGCTGCTAGGCTCCTTAATCATGGTACATACATACTATATAGGTCTGTGCAAAGCCAAGATTGAAAAGGCATTAGATCATTCAAATATTAATTAGCTAATTCCTCGCAACAATCCAGCGTTCATGTAAGAGCCTCCGCAACAGATTGTTAACCATACCTTGGGAACCCTGTTCCTTTAAAATGACAATCTGGCTTTTCTGCACACAGACCCCCCAGATGATGTGCAACCCTTCATACTCCTGTGTACAGGGCTGTCAGTGCTAACAAAGACAATCTAGCTGTACACAGTGCAGCTCAATTATGACAAAGCAGGAACAAAAGGAGTACCAGGAGATGCATTACACTCAAAAGATAACACAAGCCCCTGGGAGGGAGCCAGCGGGGAAGAACACATGTCCACAGTAATGTAATGCCTGCAACTTGACAAAGAAAAACAGTCTAACAGGTATCTCTTCTACATTACAAGCAAATGCCAGAGCTGACACCGATAACTGAGGAAACCATCTTGGATGACAAGGTCGGGTCCGGTGAGCCGCTCTACGTCAACTCACTACAGAGGTTAAGGATGCTCTAGGATCTCCTAATCCAGCTACCCCAGAGTAGCATCTGTGTCATAAAATCCACTAAACTGTCTTCATGGTGTGTCATTGTCATTTTTCATCCCTGTACAAGACCAGCTCTCCACACAAATACATTGTAAATTTACTCTATGCAAATTATATACATACATATACAGTAAATATACTAGGACACTGGAATATTGAAAAGAACAAAAATTCAAAACAAACTAATGGGTCAAGTTAGGCTGTATGATGACAATTACTTAAATGGCAATCCCTATGTACAGTATATGGGTTGGAAAGTATTCCCATGCCCTCAGATAGAAAAAAAACTTGGATGAAAGGGGTTGTCAAACAATGAAAACATTGCTATAGCTTTCCTGTGTATGTTTGAAGTCTGGCTTCAGCACAAAGTACATGTCAAGTCAAGCTATGGTTAGATTTGTAGGCACTTAATAAACTTTCTATGTGCTTCAGCAAACAACATACCTCAGTAAGCCTTGTAATAGACAATCAAAGGTTAAAAAAATCTTTGCCGGTCACTGTCACTACTTAGGAAGAATTGAATGGAGCACAGCTTGTACTAGATCTGTGATGAATTGGCATAGTCCATTAAAAGTGGCAGTTTTGATGCATATCCTCCCTCGCTGCTGCACAGCTTCTTATGTCACCCTTCTGCCCACAGCCGCATAACTAGACAGTGATTCAGGAGCATTACTTCTGTCCAGTGATCTGACCCAGAAATTAGTAATGCTAAACCAGGAATTAACAAAGTGATCTTAATTGTTAGCAAAGGTGAATTACAAGAGTAGCTGGCCAAAATTACAAATCATTTGTCAGGTAAAACAGTAAACATTTATGCATTTCAATCGTATATGTAGCTGCTTGCCCTGAGTTCCACTTTAACTCCAGGGCCAAGGGGAATTTAGCTGGACCCATAAAGAAGCTTCAAAACAAGTAATGTGTCCAGTGATGGCTTGTAACTTCCTTTGGTGATGCCAGAGATGCAGTTGTATGGACTTCATTTCACCTCATAAGCCAACTAAAAGATTTTTAAATCCACATGCTTCATCTCAAATGAAAACATATAGCTGACTTTAGTACTTAGGCCCGGTTCCCACCTGGGCGTTTTTCCGCGCGTTCGTACTCGCGGAAAAACGCTCAAACAGGGAAATCCCATTATTTTCAATGTGCATGGTTCCCATCTGGGCGTTTTTCCGCGAGTACGAACGCGCGGGAAACCGCCCTACGCCCAAAGAAGTACATGTACTTCTTTGGGGCGTTTTGGTCGGGCGTTTCCATTGGGATACAGCCAAGTAGCCCTCGGAAACGCGGGTTTGTCGCACGTTTTTTTACCGCGAATCGCATATTCAATACGCCTAGGTGTGAACCAGCCTAAACAGTCATGGCAGGGCAAAGCAGTGACTTAAGACTTACTTTTGGCCTTTTCATTCTTCCTTGATGGTCTCCACCGTATACAAGACTTGTGTTCATCTAGGTAGTAAAACCGAACTAGACCTTTGGAACTACCTCGCAGTTTGATCATTTGGGTCCCAGCTTGCATAGAACTCATACATCTTTCCACTGCAAGAGAAAAAAAAACAAAAACACACAGTTTTAGTATAAAGCTCCAAGACGCAAAAGGCAATAAGCTAAACTCATGGTAGAGCTACTGCACATGTCCTATTCAAGCATCTAGTTGGCCTTACAGTTCTGTAGAACCTACACAATCACAGTTTTCCCAAGTCTGCCACAACTAGTTGTATACATGGATGGCAGTAAACAGAAATATGTAAAATAGACCCTTAAAGTGTATGCAAAAGCAAAACTTTTTTTGTTAGTTTTCGGGAGAATAACCCCTTTGTTTCTATGGGTTTAGACTTGTTCCCAGAACAAGAGGTGACAAAAAATCTTCCAAAGGCAATGCCTGCTTTGGATCCGACTGTCTAAAAGAGAAATCCTCCCCACTTTGGAAGACTTCCTGTAATCTCCTGTTGCGTCTCAGGGACAGGAAGTTAAGGGAAATCTCCCCAATCAGTGGCGGAACAATCACCATAGCGACCCAGGCAGCCGTTATGTGGCCTGGCCAGGACATCCCCCCGATGCTGTGATGGCTGCCTGGGTCGCTATGGCATTGCAGGCTGCTAGCTGTAACTGGCAGCTGTGAGGAGTAACACGCCGCTGTTTAGATCACTGACAACCTGTCAGAGATGTGTGCAGTGCTGCGTTCCTCCTCCCAGCCGCTGCTGAGTCAGTGACAGCCAGTAGCTACGGAGGAGGAGACTGGGCCCGGCATCGGCAGCGAAGGAGGAGGTGGGGCCCAGAGATGGGGGAGGCAGGGCCCGGAGATGGAGGAGGCAGGGCCCGGAGATGGAGGTGGCAGGGCCCGGAGATGGAGGAGGCAGGGCCCGGAGATGGAGGAGGCAGGGCCCGGAGATGGAGGAGGCAGGGCCCGGAGATGGAGGAGGCAGGGCCCGGAGATGGAGGCAGGGCCCAGCAACGGAGGAGGAGGCAGAGAGCAACAGGTGGCAGAGGGCTGACAGGTAAGAGGGTTAGACCAGCTTACCTGAGACCCTGCAGAGCCCACCATAGAGAGTCTATGGTGGGCTCTGCAGGGTCACTCAGGTGGGTTGTGTGGGATATCAGGTGGGCGTAACTAGAAATCACGAGTCCCCATACAGCATTTTGGTATGGAGCCCTGTGATTTCTAGTTACGCCCCTGTCCCCAAAGGCAAGCATACAACCAAATAACAATCTGACAGATGGTTTACTCTTTCACCCTCCCCTACCCTATCCAAAACTCATGAAAGTGACACAAAATCTAACAAAGAAAATGTTTAAGAGTCATCTCAGCAAACCTGAGTAGAGCTTAAAAAACATATTTGTATGGTGTTTTATTATGGACTGAGCTTTTCAGATATATTTTTATAACCATTATTACTATGCTCAAGTCATACGGGCATTAGTGCACAAATAAAATATTTGGTGTTAAACAATATCTAAAATTCTTAGGCAAATCATGAAAACAGAAAATAAACTAGATGCAACTTTACACGGACCCGGCTAATCTCCATGTGTAGATGAATAATAACAGTTTTTATGTGCCAGTGCCTCAGTGAATTGCAGAGGTTTCACAGCTTGGTAAACAGTTGAGCACTTGGCTTAGAACTTCATATATCAGAGCCAACATGGTGTGGCTATAAAGTCGCTTTTCAGAATGCCTCTAAGCAGCAGCTCCGCAGTATCAACAGGAAGGTAAAAAAATAAATAAATGTTTTAGCCCTAATGGGACTCATGTCATAATTTGTAATATTGTACAGGTAAATTTCTAACAAATTAAACATATCCATAATTACAGCGTACCTCATCTCTACAGAATACACAAAGCTTAACTGCGAGTCACAAAGTGGAGAGGGAACCGTTAAATAAGAGTATAATTTCTTATGAAACAAGTATCCATCTTGCTACTTTTTCTGCTCAAGGCGTGTTTGCCATTGACTACCACTAGAGATACCTACGGGCATACACATAAGACCGAAGACAGGTGTTGCATGATGGTTGATGACTGCTGTCAAACAGTTGACATTTCTAAGACTGCCATATATATGGTCAGCATTACATGGTCAGTTCAGTATTATCACCTTGGCTGCATGCTGCTTGTTATGATCATTTCTGGACTTTCGTGTAGAGCTTATTGCATGAGCCAGTGATTGGATGAGCTAGGCGTCAGTCATGATTACTGATAAGTGGCTTGTTAACTTGCCTAACTGCTTTTGTGTTTGAGATCGCCAATGCTATGAGCCATGACTAGCAGCTACTGGAGAACAAAATGCCACTAGTTGTATGTCTTATGAAGACATATAATATATATTCAGTTTTGTTCATATCATACATATGAAGTGGCATTCTGTTCTCCAGTAGCTGCTGGCTATCTCTGACACAAAAGCTTATGGTAGGTTGACAAGCCACATGTAAGTGATTATGACTGACACTTAGCTCATCCAATCACTGGTTCATCCAAAATGTTCTACACATGCTGCCCCAGAAATTATCATAAGCAGTTTGTAACCAAGGCAATACTATTGAACTGACTGTAATGATGACCAAATATATGGCAACCGTTTTTAAATTTAAATTGTCCAACTAGTTTGTAACAGCAGTCATCATCAGTCTATACAGTTATGCGTTTCTTTTATGTGGGCAGGGATGGCAGCATTTGCCTTGATCCATGCAAATGGTTTGTGATTGAAAACTGGTTAAAGTTGCTAAACATTGCTGCCAGTATAAGCAGGGATTTACAGAGCAGAATCCCAGCACTCCTCATTCCTTCTTACTATCACAACTGTGCATCCTCACCCCTACTACTGGATGAAGGCACAATTCTAGCACCAGGTCTCAGGCAGAAATGTACTTAGCATTCTAATCCACAACAGCTAGAGAACCACATGCTGTAACCCATTCGATACCTTAAGCAAGATAAATGTAGGAATATAATGACAGCATCAATGTTTCTCGATACCCTTGCAATGTTATGTCCCGTGCCATGTGAAAAGGCAAAAGACAAAAACATTAATCTTATAAAATGTACAAGACAAGGATGGGGAAATAAATTAGTTCAATATGTCAAAAAGGACTCAGTTATCCTCTACATTATCTTCTGAATTATGGTGAAAGTGCCCTGCATATTGCATGCAATTAATTTCTATGAAATACAGAAGACTTCAGATAGATTAAAGTAAGTATATTTCCAGAATCTTAAACTGCTTTATTTCCTCTAATGTAGGAGGTCATTTTAAGTATGTGTACTGGGAAATAAACTTCAAAACCGGTCAGAATATTGAACATTTACACACCAGTCAAATATCCATTTGACCTCATAGTATAAGTGAATGAATTAGCCTTGCATGCATCCTCTGCAGCTGACCACCCAACTGGTAAATGTTTTTGCCATCAGTACCCTTTCCTGAAACGTATCGTAAAGACTTGTTTTTGAAGATGAAGGCTTTCATTCTTATGCTTCCTTCACTAGAGACACTGACCTTAAACAAGCATGCACCGAGTGGAGAGTCAGAGATAAAGAACAGAGGAGGTCACCGCCACTTCAAGAATCATAATTAATATGACTTTTTTAATGTATGTTCATATTAGCACTTAGCAGTGGAGAGTCAGGACACGCGATATGTATATGCTTGTTCCATGTCAGTGATTTTCCATGCCAGTGATTATCCAAGTAGTGATGTGATAAGGAGCACCAAAAGGCACATATGCAGCTACAGTAGAATTCTATTTTATGGAGTATAAAAGCCGCCACGTTTCCAGTCAGAGAGTGCTTCCTTTATGACGCAACTAGCGCTCCTTCCAACAGTAGAAAGCAATTCAGCATGCATCCACTGAAATACCACTTGCAACACCGGTTTTGTTTACAATCCTGATAAAAGGGGGTACATTTTATCCCTGAAACGTGTAGACTTTAAATAGAATGGAACTTTAGAAGCAAATGTTTATTTGGCATGCTTTATACGTACACGTTCGGATATTTGTAGCCTCATTTATCTGTAGCACATCTGCAGCAAGAGCAGCCCAAATACATCCACTAACTCAAAAACGTCAACATTTGAGATACATACAAAGTCAGTTCTTGTAGTAGATCTAGTGCCATCACACCTGGTCCTTTGGGAGTCTCCATATAGTTAAGCAAGGATGAAAATGACATGTCTGGCGTATGCACGGTCACAAAAACAAGCAGATCAAGGTAAACTGAATGCACCTTTGAACCTCAGCTCAAATGCATCCAAAGGGTATCACTAGCAACCAGGAGTCATGCCTAAGTCCCGGTTCATGCTTATTACTGAATCTACAAACAGTTTTAATGCAAACATCAGATAACTCTGTACATGCATGTTTGCTCATTAATGCATTTTTAGTTTGCATTTTAAACTAAAATCTGTCTATTTATTCTTCCTTTCACTCCAAAGGAATCCCAGTGTAAACTCACAAATCCGGCATTTTTTGTGCCTTACACTTCTATAGCATGGACTGCACACACATTAAAAACAAGACAAATGCAGCAGAACTTTTTTTTTTAATTTCACTTAAGCACCAAGTTGGAGTTTAGTGATGTGGAAAACTGCTATAGAAATAAAGAGGAATTGCTTGGGTAATGCACCTTCCATGTGAAGATCGAGTAATAAGATGTACTAAACAAGTACTAAACCAATCCCATTACTGAAATACGCAGCTTCTCCACGCTACATAAAAGGGAAGTGGGCGTCAGGTAACACATCAATCCAATCTGCACATCAAGCATACAGCAGCTCCCTTAATATGAAAAAGAACAATTTCTGTGTACATCAGGTAGCTCAGGAGAATACGGATGTCAAATTTAAGCGGAAAGAAAACAAACTAACAGGTCCACTTAAAGCGTTAATAAATCCGGTTCATCAAATATGTTGTCTTGTCTGTTCACTTAGTGCGGCTCCTATCTCTATGGAGCCATTGCTGCGTGCACGCTCCCCTCTGGGACTACACAGATGCACGCTCAAAGAGGCTGGAGCTGAAGGGAACTTGCGAACTGCCCATCTCCC